CATTCAGTAAGAAGGACTAGATGTTACAGTCCCTGATAATGCATTGCTTTAGATGGAGAGATTCTTGAGGGATGGCTGTTATGAGGAAAGGCAGCCCAGAAACTTTCGGTCTTTTACCCAGGCTAATCTGCCATTTTCCTCCCTTGGTTAGGTTTAGGGATTAGAGATCTGATCTAGCTTATCATTTTAAAATTTGGGCCACATCGTGAGTAGTGGACCAGATCTCTCCAGACATCTCCAATCGGGTTCTAGTCTAGGTTCTGAATGGGCCACTCAGTGACATTCACAAAGTGGACCCAGAGTCACTCCTTTGTTATCTTGACTGTATGCTGAGAGTATTTGTTATGTTAAAGATGAGTGTAAACGAACCACGGCAGACCAGACGACATGTACGCTTTTCAGCGTCTTTAAATTATATGTCACTAAATAAATTCCACTACATTTATATGTAAAGCATGTTACTTTGCAGGATCAGATTAGTTACATTTAGCCCCAGTGTTACAAAAACTGACTCCTGAAGTACTTTTTAAGAGAGCCCTCACTCGCTCTGTTTCAGGTCTGTCACACCCCTGAGTGTCTGATCACCATTGAAGCCCCAGGATCAACTGGTCCTTGCCACCTGCCCAATAAGCTTTGTGTAAGTGGGTGCTGTGGCTGGTATTGTTTGTGGGATTGCTAGAGCGTGTTTCCTAAAAGTTCTGTGAAGCTCTTTGTCAAGTCATCCTCTGACAAACCCCTAACCATGATCATTAACCCTGTGCAAACAGATTAACCTTTCTACCAAGTGCTGTCAGTCAGGAATAAAAAGAGAAGAATCATTCTGACACATCAAAAACTACCTACATTTTTCTCCTAGTCTTTCTCCAAAAGATCAAGGTAAGGATAGTCACCAACAATGACTTAGACTTTGGAGCATCAAGAGTGTCCTAACAAAACTAAGAAAACTTGGCAGGGGTTGTCATTTTTTCCAACTACTCTTGTCTAATGTGTTTGTTTGTTTGTTTGTCAGGCAGCTTAGCATATGTGATATTATGCGGATTAGTTTTCGTCTCATATTTTGGTTTCTTTTTGCTTCATTTTGGTTTCCAAGAATTAATGGTTTTAGTTTTTGCCACTTTTGCAGGATTCAAGATTAAACATAAATACCTTGGACAATGATTAATGATGAACAACATATTTCCTTTAAGCTCTTTAAAGACATTTGCAGCGGGCGCTTTAGTTTGTTTACATTCAAAAGAAAGACATTTCTATAGCAGGTATCTCCAAACCTAGGCAACTCACACAAACACAGTCTAGGCGGATACCAACTTAATCTCTGTGATTTTAACCAGAGGTAAGGGTGAGGTGAAGTGACATGTCTCCAAACATGAAAGTGATCAGGGCTGACAGATGGCTTAACAAAATGATTAAAATATAGCAAAGGAGACAGTTGTGTGCTTCAAAACAGTAATCAGCTTTACTTTTTATGATGAAGGTTCCACGGATGCACGGTGGTGAGCACTGTTGCCTCAAAACAAGAAGTTCAATTCCACCACTAGGCCAGGTTCTTTTACATGTCTTTGCATGTTTTCCCCGTGTTTGCCTGGGTTCTTTCTGGGTACTCCGGCTTCCTCCCACATTCCAAAGACAGGCAATTAGTGGAATGAGATTAATTGGTAACTCTAAATTGCTCCTCTCGCCCTAAGACAGCTGCCCACATAGCAGACAGATCTGACTTCTGGCATAGTAAGTGCTATGTCATCAGGATATGGGCCAGGCCTGGCATAGATGGCACTGTTTATGTGATGGCATGCCACACGTGGCTCGATTATGGTTTGGTTTATGTAGCCCAAGCTCATAGAACACAGGTCTTCCCCGGATCCGGCATCAAGATGGCACTTCTGACCGACTGGTGTCATGGCAGGGTGTATGTCAACCAGATGTGGGCCAGGTCTGGCAATGATGGCACTATTTATGTTCCTATTTTCCTATTTTAGTTAGAAGACCCAAATGCCATGTTGCAATACTATACAGCTATGGTAGCCAACGTTTCACATGCAAATTTGACAGGTTTGTGAGTGTACACTTTATCCAAAACCTAGTGAGGGTTTACTCATGTTTCCTACTGGGTGGCTGTAGCTCAGGAGGTAGAGCAGGTTCCCTACTGATCGGAAGGTTAGTGGTTCAATCCTTGGCTCTTCTAGTCTGCATGTCAAAAGTATAAATGTAAAGGAAGCACTCAGTTTAGAGAAAGTGGGTGAATGTGGCATGTTGTACAGAGCACTATGAGTAATCTGGGAGAGTAGAAAAGTGCTAAATAAAAATCAGTCCATTCACTGTCTGAACAGAGTTTCATCATCTTACTTTGCACTATTATGTTCCGGCACATGTTGTAATTACATGGCTTGATTAAGGTACACATTAGGCTGACATCTGGGGCCAGAGCTGAAACTGTTCTGGGCCAGCACAGGGCTACCAGTGTGTCTGCAACTGGCCTTGTGCTGGCCCATGTGTGGGCCACCTCTGGCAAACCAGATCTGGGCCACCAATGGGCCGTCATTCCTCGTGGTAGGTGGGCCGAGTGTAAGCACATTGTGTGGCCCAGATCCGGGCCATACCAGTGTTGCTATGTGGGTGGGATAGGCTCCAACTGTGCAACTTTTACCGTAACCACAATGCTGCTTTTTTATTCCAAATCTGAACCTAAACATATTGGTTTTATATTTTCGAACCTAACCAAAGCAAAGTGACACCTGTGTTTTTCTATGCAACTACTGGGACAAAGTATGCTTACTCAGTTGGTAAAGTTTCAATTTCCTGGTTTTGCTTTTGTTTTTGTCCACTTACCAGATGACTGATGGTCTATCAAAAGTCAATGTAGCTGATGAGCATATATACTTTATTGACACTTTGCAAGTCAAAGCATGCCGGAAGTCCAGCTTCTCAACTTGATAATTAAGGGCAGTTATGTATATAATGTATCTATTTTTTATTCTCCAGAATTACCCAATTAAAACAAAGCATTTCCTGCTTTATTGTTACAGATGGTCAGTGTCACTTTGTTTTTGTTGCTGTTTTGCTTTGTTTTTAACGAGAGAGTGTTACAGTTGGCAATTAACTTTTTATATCTGCTAGAGACTTTTCTGTCAGGATCCTTGAATATGATAAAGGGATAAAAAAAGTACAAGGAGATTAGAAAAGTGTGGATTTTTCCATAGCAAAGGCTTACTGGTGTCAGCCAGATTATAATAATAATCAGGTGTAACTGACACACACACACACACACACACACACACACACACACACACACACACACACACACACACACACACTTAGATTAAATGTTTTAAAATGCACTAGCAACAAAAAAGAACATTCTTGAAGGTTTAAAAAATCATCTCAGAAATGTACACGCACTTACAAATACTGCATATCTAATAACACACGCACACACCCACACACAGATTACCAGCGCCTATCAGCTGTGGTATCGCGTCAGCCTGGTTGTGATGTTAAAAGCTCAGCCTTTGGGCTGTATGTTAAACAGATATGGAGTGGAGCATGCTAGGGATTAAAACTACAAGACACACACACATTTTTGCACACACACAAACCCGAGGGAGCGAACAGCGATAACCCAGTCATTATCATACTTTCATAATTCCATTTAAGAATTCAGCTTAGCCGCAGCAGCAGCTGGATGTTGAGGAAGTTGGCTGTGTTGAAAAATCTGAGGGTGAATTATGAGGAATCACTGTGCTAATAATGTAGAGGTACATTATTGAGAATAATATAGCTTCAGAAAAGCTCAAAGGCAAATCATAAGAAATAATTCAGATAACAACTGGTGTAAAATCCTCTTTCTGAGGAAAAAAAAGCATTTTATAGGATTTGGATGTCAGACTATAATATCATAAGGGCTTGGGAATTGGAAATAAAAGAATATAGAGCATTAATTGTAATTCATTAAAGGGCTCACTAGGAGCTCTTCAGGATGTAATGCTGACTAGAAAACAGAAGTACTACATGAAAGAAAAACTTGGTAAAGGAAACAGAAATTGCTAGTATTGTCACACATTTGCATTAGGCCATACTTACTTACTACAGTACTTGCATTGGCCCAAGACTTTAAAAACTACTGTTAGCATGAGTCACAGTAAGAAAATAAGAAATTGAAAATCAAGACCTGATATGTTTTTTCTACTTAGTCTTCATTGCTAAGCTGTATCTATTGGAAACCCATATCTGTCAATTATAAGTAAAATACTAATTATTAGCAGAACTGATCATTGGTGAATTTGTGCTACTTTTCCTAGAGTAAGAGTAAATACCCCCAATACGTTACACTTTTCTAGCATTTGTTTGTGATTGCATCCACATGCTAATTTGCTCCACTTATTAAATGTGACCCTTAGTCTGCTAACTAAAGTAACATTGCATATGTCAGGACTTTGAAATTTTAATCCTTAAAACATCAACGACAATGTTTCAGGTTGATGCTTCTATCCAGATAATGGTCCAAGCACGAGAGGGTTGGTGGAACTGTGAATCTCTATACTTCTTGATCAGTTCATTTTCTAAGATATTTCACTTTAAAACCATCAAAACAGCAGCCTAAGAGCAAAATATCACATGGCTGCTGAAAGTTTCACAAAGAAAAGTTAATCAAGTTAATGTAAAATTGTAAAGAGCACTGTAGGTTTGTGTGTGTGTGCGTGTGTGTGTGTGTGTGTGTGTGTGTGTGTGTGTGTGTGTGTGTGTGTGTGTGTGTGCTTATAGTGTGTAGAGTGTACACATTCTGCATCTTGATGCCTGATGCAACCAAGCAACAATAACTGGAAATTATTCATCAGAAACCAAAGCCACTGAAAAATTTACTGGACCAAGAGTGTGTCCATGTGTGTCCAGCGTGATACTGTGGAACCAGAAGAAAAATAGGCCTGCTGTATCCACATGCATTTCCAAGCTTTTTTCCAAAGATGAGTTCAGATAAGTTTTTATCCGCTGTGAATAGTTCCTACCTGTAAAATGTGGCTTCCTAGGTGAGGTTCGAAGATCTCAGAGGCAATGGCGCTGGGACTTCTCCTCCGCTGGGTACCGATAGCTAAAGACACACACACGCACACAAGGAGAGAGAAAGCACAGGACAGGACAGAAGAAGACTGGTGAGACTCAGACACATTGATACGAGCAAAGCTGCACTCACACACGAATACGTGTTCACAAACACACAAACACTCACGTTTATACAGCCTAGCATGACAAAAACACACATGGCACAAGACAAGAGGAACCAGTGAGTTCAGCTCTGAACAGTCCCAATTAGTGCCACAGGTTAGCATTGTCAGTTGCACTCGCTAAATCAGCCCCATCCTTCAGGTCATATGAGCTACTAATAATACTAACAGGTTTCATTCAGTGACATCATTTGGCAAAGCAACAGCATCTAAGGAAAACGTATTTGTAATGCAACATCATTATATATTATAATTAAATAGACTCTCATGCAAGCAAAGTTCAAGTATCTCTACGTGGAAAAAAAAATTGTTTCATAAAATCTGTAACTTCAAAATTACAAGGTTATTTATTCAATCGTCTACATTGAATAAACAAGGTTGACATTAGACCTCAATCTTTATCTAAGGTACAAAGAAAGTTCATGTTGCATTTTCTCACAGTTTATGTGACCATGGGAGTAGATGGGGTTTGAAAGTAGCCAGAACTTTAACCTCTGTATCATGAAAAGCTTCAAAGTTGATGTTTTAATCACCACCGATCATTCACAAATGCTTTTCGCAAATGCTTCCCCTCAAAGTTATTATTACCTTTTTAAAAAAAAACATAAGTCAGTGACTACTCTTCCCATGTCCTATTATTTTTTTATTTTCTTTTTTTGCGAGTAATGCATCTCAGTAATGCATTGAGGATATATATTTTGTATCAGGAGTATAAAAAAAGATGGAAGTTGTCACCATAGTAACCAGGAAAAAAGTTTTAAAATACGTGAAAGGCATTATATTTATGGTATTTTTTTGATCTGTCGACTGAATCTTCAACCAAACATTCAACCATCAAATGCTGACTTTCACTTGCCTTTTAATCAGGACACATGAGATTGAAATTTATGCTGAGGAATGCGCAAAAAGTTTTGTGTACAGAAACACGAATCAGTAGGTCGTGACTATATTGCAGACTGTTGTGACATCAGGTTACCATTTAATAAGTTACATAGAAAATCAACAAAAAAACTCCAAACCAACGCCGCAGTCACCAGCCCCTTTGCGAAGCTGCTAAGAAACACAAGCTGGCAACACTAAAACACCTTATGGCAGGACATGAAAAACAAATAATGACCTCAAGGGCTGTCTGTACTGTCTCATCTCTCATCTTATCTCTTAAGCTCTCTTTCTGTTTTTATCCTTCAAGCCATTATTTCCACAAATATTCATGTGACCATCCATCTGCATCGTGAATTCAAAGCTGGATTCTGATAGTCTCATATGTAACATCCATTATATTAAAACCCCACAGATATCAAAACAGTGTGAGAAGGCGGCTATAATTTGTGTACTTACAGCCCCCTATAACTGTGCACATAGCTAAAGGGGCTAAATACATCATTTATACCAAATTCATGCACCGTAAATAACTTTTTAACGGATAATGTCACAACAGCTCCTCAGTGAGTGACAGGAATATCGAGGAGGGAATCTTTTCCTCTTTCCCTTGCTTTTTTTTCTTCCTTTGCCATTTTTTCCCCTTTTTCCTCTTTTTATTTTTAATTCTCATCTTCCTGTCCATCATTGTTTATCTCTAGTGAGTGAGAGAGCTAGAGAAAGGCAGAAAAGACAGACAGGAGTTGAGAGAGAGAGTGAAACAGTTTATAGCTTTCTAAAATTTCACCCTGAGGGCAAAACTCTCTCTACAGACAAAGTCAGAAAGCACAACAGCTCGAGAGATAGAGGGAGGAAAGGAGAGAAAAAGTGAGATGGTCAGTGTAAAATTTGGCCCGAGGTTAAACTGTCTCTCTCTCGCTTTCTCTTTCTCGATAGAAGACAAAAAGAAAGAGAAAAGACTGACGGTGGGAGAGAGACCTCAGTGCTGTCGCTAAGTGAATAATGTAAAGTTCAATCATTAATATAGGCCAGAAAAAGATCAATTCAACAACAGACGGTAACTTAAAAAAAGCCTTGAACAAGATGGTTCCCAAAAGCATCTAAAGTATTCAAGCAGCCGATATGAATTTTATTTATGAATCTGCTTTTTTTCTTTTAAAGAACTGAATAAAACTATTAAAAGTCCTTTTGACTTCAAAATGAGTTTGAATGCAAAGCAAATTTAATGTATTTGTAAAAAAAAAAAAAAGTGCTACCAGTTAATGTCTAAGCCTTGAGACAGCTGGAAAATGGAAATGGACAGCACAGGAGAAAAAGCAGAGTGAGACAGTGACAGAGAGCGAGACAGGCACACAGAGGGGCATTAAAGCCCACTAAAAGAGAGATTTTTGTGCCCTGAGGTAATGTTCTTCTCTCTACCCACTCTCCGTCCTCATCTCCCTGCAGACCTCATTACAGCAAATTTAAACACACACCAATAAAAACGCTCATATGCAAGACTCCCGTGCGCTTTTTTGGAAGGGGGTGGGGTTGAAGCGACAGAATTAGCTTTAATTAATGACATAACAAAATGTGCTTGTGAATGAAAGGGTTACAGAGTAAAAAGGAACACAAGGAGAGAGTAGATGGGATCAAGGAGCTCAGTCTGATCTTTGTGTATAAGTATATACTTTATTTTATATATAATATATATTCATGTGAAGAAGAAATGACTATAAGCAAAAGGAGCATGCCTACATGTTGAATAGATTGTAATAGGGAAAATTTTGCTGATCAGATGAATCTTAATTTTTACTGTTACTATCTTTCTTTAAAGGTGCTATATAAATAAAGTTATTATTATTATTGTGTTTCCTGCAAAAACCTGACTTTTTACCTGCAAATTGTAATTACAGGTACCCTTATTCGCAGGTCTTATTATGAAGTTGAAGTTATTATTATTAAGTGTGAGGTAAAAATCAAGGAACACTAGTTACTAGGAAGATGTTGTGTGTGAGTTAAAAAAATACAGACAAAGAATGATGTGACACTGAGGCAACGACGATGGCGTAAAAGAGAAAAAAGGACAAAAAGGGATGAGCGGGGGGGGGTAAATAAAAAGAAAGGTCAGAAAAAACTGTAAATAAGACCAGACTGGAAAAAAGACAATCAAAATGTATGTACAAAAGTTATAGTAGAGTGTGTGTGTGTGTCTGTTGTGTGTCTGTTGTGTGTGTGTATGTGTGTGTGAGAGAGAGAGATTGTCCGACCATCTCATTGGAAAGTCAATTTAACTTTGCTCTGAAAGTCAAACATTACAGCTGTTGTTAATTTATTTTCTTGTTTAATATGAAATTGGCAACAAACCAGGGATTCCTCTGCTCTGTGTGTGTGTGTGTGTGTGT